TTTTTTTTTTTTTTCCCCCGTTAGTGGAACTTAGGAATCCTATTTGTGTAATTGTTAACAAAGCTGGCCAATTTACAAGTTTATGAAGAAACAGCTTGATGCAACTGAACCTTTGAGGAGTCGCCAAATTATGAAGTGCCCTGTGTAAGCGGTCTTCTTGAGGTAGTTTTGTGTCATAGCTTCTAGTTTTCATATACATTATAGTTAAGACACCAAGTGGACTTTCTTGCTCTGCCAGAATGGTTCAGCTGCCCTGGACTTGTCTCTGCCTGTCAAAACACTTCCTATGTTAGAAAATGAGTATAGAGGCCGAGTGCAGTGGCTCACGCCTGCAATCCCACCACACTTGAGAAGGCTGAGGCAGGCGGATCACCTGAGGTCGGGAGTTCGAGACCAGCCTGGCCAACATGGTGAAACCCTGTCTACTAAAAATACGAAAATTAACCAGATGTGATGGCACGCACCTGTAATACCAGCTACTCAGGAGGCTGAGGCACGAAAACCCGAGAGGCGGAGGTTGCAGTGAGCCAAGGTAGCGCCACTGCACTCCAGCCTGGGCGACCCAGTGAGACTGTCTCAAAAAAGTATAGAAACTGGCTTATGTAGCCTTCCCACCACTAGCCAAACTCCCCAGAGGTAACCAAGTGGGGGGCACCTTGCAAAATAGAATTGTGTTCATTTTCTTTTTTTTTTTTTTTTTTTTTTTTTTTTGTAGAAACGGGGTTTCACCATGTTGGCCAGGCTAGTCTTGAACTCCTGACCTCAGATGATCCACCGCCTTGCCCTCCCAGAGTGCTGAGATTATAGCCATGAGCCGCCATCCACCACACCTGGCTCCAATTGATAGTTTTTTAATTTAAAAGTTTGTCGGTTTCAAGCTCCTTCAATGAGTGAAATAACTATTTGGAGGAGTTACTATGGTTAGGTATACCATCTCACCATCTGAGAGGCGATTTATATATTTCCTGCTCCTTAATGAAATATGTAATGTACTTAAAAACTTTAATGACTTCCTAGATGAGAAAAAACTTGACATATAAAGGCTGTGAATATTTCTACTTGGAAGAAGAGCCCAACTTTGGTTACTTTGAATTTACAAGCCCCCTTGTGCAGCTGAGGGGCTCATGAATCGTTTTTGTCTCCATTTGAGGAAGAGTGGTCTGTGTTGTGACCAGGAGCAAGGGAAGGTGAATGGAGTTATTTTCGTTTGTGCAAATTATTTTCTATATTTAACTCAAGCATTAATGTATAACCAGAAATTTAAAGATGCATGTTATTATAAGAGCAACATAATGGTGATTTTGAGGTCTTTCTGAACATAAATGGCACATTTTAAATTTCAAGTCTTCAAAGTGCCTAAGGATTATTTAGTTATCCCTCAACTGATTTTTTGAGCCATATATTTCCTATTTTAAATGTTTGCAGAATCACCAGTCTTCCTTTGAAAGAAGTAGCCCCCAGCATTCTAAATGACATGATTATAGAAGACAGTTAAGTAGAATGTGTTAACATAAAGACTGAAGATATTTTAGTTGTAAAACCGTGTGAACAAGGGCTTTTGCCCTATTGTATCTAAGTATTTCAGTGCACAACTTAGTAAAAACCATATTGCTGCTGTTTCTAAGCCCTCCACCAACTGAATGTTCATGCTTAGCATTGTAGAGGCAGAAATAGCATATTTGGGGTTTTTTCTTTCATTGATTTTTCTCCTGGTGATAATTTTCCAGCCTTGTGTCTTTTAGCTATTGTGTATACAAATTTAGAATTATGAAAATGTTTTCTATTTTTTTTTTCATGATTAACTTAGTGAATGATAACTTAAATCCTTAATCCTAGTAGTGGTTAGAAAGATGAAGAGCCTTTTTTATTTGACTTACATTTGTAAATGAAAACAAGTCTGTGAATATTCAGATGACTACTTCAAAGTAGTTCTTTCAGTTTATTAGTATTTTTCCAGCTTATGTTCTCCCATGAGCTATTTTACTTTGCTGAATTTTGTGGCTAATTTGGTGGATATATCCTGCCTTATTAAGGATTATTAGCTGGATAAGAAAATTGCCTTTTCATTGTAAGTGCCCAGTTTTGGTCTCTAGTTTGAAGGTACTACATACTGCCGATAAAGGAAAACAACACTCCCCCACACCCCAGTTTTTGTGTTACTAAGAAGAAAAACAGTACTGGTTTCATAGTAGGACTCAACCAGAATTGGTCCTACACATATGTGAGTGTTTAGTTTTTGAAAATAAGGTTTTCGAGTGTGATAAAACACTACAGAAGTGCTAAGTGTATTGAGAATTTGCTGCCGATTGTGTTTATAACAATTATTTTTACGTTTGCAGAAATGTAGCACTTTCCCTCCAAATTTATAGGTGTAAGAGAAGTGGGGGCAAGGTGCACCACATTTTAAAGCTGCAAATGTGTGAAAATTTGAGATCCAGATTCCCAAAAGGAAATTTCACCACCCAAGTCATGCACTTCTTAGCCTTTTACAAGCCAACAGACTGACATGAAGATTGTTCACGGTTCCTAAGATTTAGCACATATACAAAAATAAAACTTTATAAATTAAATTTCGGTTTTCCCTTTATTTATTAATACAAGATTTCTAAACAGAAGGTCGAGGCGTAATAGAGCTGAAGGGAGTTTTTTAAAGGGAAATGTTTATGAGGAATTTAGCTGTCATTGTGTATATCCAAAGTGGATTCACACCTAAGAAGCTCAAAGAAAGGAGTTGTGATCTAATTGCAGACTTTGTAGTTAAAACTTAAGATTCGACAAATGTGTTTCACGGTTCTCTTAAATTGGAAAAGAGCAGACCACATGTTTTTGAGGGGAGCCACAGAAGTGAAAATTCAGTTAACTCTAGCATGTTCCATCTGCTGTTTTTTAGAGTCTAGAAATAGCTCTTTGTTGTCATGTCCCAGGGAAATAAGATTTCCACAGAAACCTGGCGGTGCTTTCCTAAAGTTGGGTGACTTAAAGAACTGCTAAAAGACATATCTCAGATTTTCATTGGATTTAATTTCACTGATTTTTTTAAAATGGAAAACTAACTTTTCTGCAATTTGGAAAACTCCTTCCAGTTGGATTAGACTGTATTTCAACTATTTTTAGCTACATGAGTACATCTAACTGAAAATCTACGTAGCTGCCAGTATTTTGAATTGCTTCATTGTAATCTGATAACTTACAGATAGGCAAAAAGTTGACATCTTTATCTGTATACTTGAAAGTTTAGATATCTTACTAAAGTTGGGGTTACATAAAACATTTCAGTAACTTTAGGGATGTAAAATCTCAAGAAATGGGATCTTAAACTACAAAAAAATTTCCTAAATAGAACAAATTTCAGAGCCATTTAAATAAAGGTTGATTATTTTAAGGTCATTCTATTTAGATAGTCAAAACTCAAGAGTAAGATAGGAATCATTTTAGCCATCATCTGAGTAAACAAGTCTTGTTCGGATCCATTAACACAAGACAGAATATACTGCATTTGAAGAAATGCAAGATGCCATTGGTTA